TGACGGAAAGCCCTTCGAGGATCGCATACGCATACACGGACGGAACGTACTACCACCGAAGAAGGTCACCCCTCTATGGAGACTGGTCTGGAACGCGTACAATGACACTGTCCTTATTGTTCTCACTGTTGCAGCGGCCATCTCGCTAGCACTTGGACTCTACGAAACGTTTGGTGCGGAACATCCACCGGGATCTCCCACACCTGTCGACTGGGTCGAGGGTTGCGCAATCGTTGTAGCTATCGTCATCGTTGTACTCGTCACCGCCGTGAATGACTGGCAGAAAGAAGCGGCATTTGCAAAGCTCAATGCGAAGAAGGAACAACGCGACATCAAAGTCACACGATCGGGAAAGACCGCTATGATCAGTATCTACGACGTCCTAGCCGGCGACATCATACACCTGGAGCCTGGCGATGTCATTCCAGTCGACGGAATCTTTGTGGATGGCTCCGACGTCAAGTGCGACGAGTCTTCTGCTACGGGAGAATCAGATGCCATGCGCAAGACACCAGGTGCCGCTGTCATGAAGGCACTTGAGTCTGGTCAGTCCACCAAGGGCCTTGACCCCTTCGTCATCTCCGGTGCAAAGGTTCTCGAGGGCGTCGGTACTTTCATGGCGACATCTGTCGGAGAGAACAGCAGTTTTGGCCGTATCATGATGTCTGTCCGCGTCGAGATCGAGGAGACACCACTACAGGCGAAGCTCGCTAAGCTTGCCATGGCTATCGCTTACCTCGGAACTGCGGCTGCTGGTCTCCTCTTCTTTGTCCTTCTCTTCCGTTTTGTTGGTGGACTATCTGGTGATACCCGATCTGCATCTCAGAAGGGTTCAGCGTTTATGGATATCCTTATCGTTGCTGTAACCATTATCGTGGTAGCAGTCCCAGAAGGTCTTCCACTGGCGGTCACGTTGGCATTGGCTTTCGCGACAACTAAGATGCTGAAGGAGAACAACCTTGTCAGGATCTTGCGCGCGTGTGAGACTATGGGCAATGCTACAGCCATTTGCTCAGACAAGACCGGTACTTTGGTAAGTACTATTTCCTGAATGGACATGACCAGATACTAATGCCTCACAGACAACCAACCGAATGACGGTCGTTGCCGGCACTTTCGGCACCACCAGCTTCGTTCACGCGGACGCCGCCTCGGAGAAGGACCAAACCATTTCGGCATGGGCATCTAAGGTCTCGGCTGCTGCAAAGCAGCTTCTCATCCAGTCCATCGCAATCAACTCTACAGCTTTCGAAGGCCAAGAGGACGGCAAGTCTGTCTTCGTCGGATCCAAGACTGAGACTGCGCTACTTGAGCTCGCCAAGGAACACCTCGGACTTGTCTCGCTGTCAGAGACCCGCGACAGCGAGCAGGTGGTACATATGTTCCCCTTCGACTCGGCCAAGAAGTGCATGGGTGCCGTTGTAAAGCTCCCGAACGGACACTACCGCCTCGTCGTCAAGGGTGCATCTGAGATCCTCCTCAGCTTTTCTTCTGCATTTGCGCACTTCGAGTCACTCGAGACAGAGCCGCTGTCGCAAGAGCGCCGCCAGGTACTGACCGAGGCGATCAACGCATACGCGAACCGATCTCTCAGGACTATTGGACTAGTGTACCGCGACTTCGAGCAATGGCCACCGGTCAACGCCACGCTCACTGAGGGTAGCAGTGTCGACTTCGCCTCCCTGCTGCGCGATCTTACATTCTTCGGCCTGGTTGGTATTCAGGACCCCGTTCGCCCTGGTGTGCCTGAGGCAGTTCGCAAGGCACAGAAGGCTGGTGTCACGGTCAGGATGGTTACCGGTGACAACATGCAAACTGCGCGAGCGATCGCGACTGAGTGCCTGATCTACACCGAGGGCGGGCTGGTAATGGAGGGACCAGACTTCCGCCGCCTTACCGAAGAGCAGCTCGATGAGGTACTGCCGCGACTACAGGTGCTGGCCCGCTCATCGCCTGAAGACAAGCGCATCCTCGTTCAGCGTCTCAAGACCCTTGGCGAGATTGTCGCTGTGACCGGTGACGGTACCAACGATGCTCCAGCACTGAAAGCAGCAAACGTTGGCTTCTCCATGGTCTCTGGCACCGAGGTTGCCAAGGAAGCTTCTTCGATCATTCTCATGGACGACAACTTTGCCTCCATCATCACCGCGTTGATGTGGGGTAGGGCTGTTAACGACGCCGTCCAGAAGTTCCTCCAGGTAAGCCATACACCATCTTCCAGTTCATTCCAGCCAGCTAACATGCGTAGTTCCAAATTACTGTCAACATCACCGCCGTGGTTCTCGCATTCGTGACCGCGGTCTACGATGACGAGATGAAGCCAGCCCTCAGAGCCGTACAGCTTCTTTGGGTCAACCTTATCATGGACACATTCGCCGCTCTCGCACTCGCTACCGACCCACCTACCGAGAAGATCCTCGACCGCCCACCACAGGGCAAAGGCCCTCTCATCACAACAACGATGTGGAAGCAAATCATGGGCCAGAACATCTACAAGATCACTGTCATCTTCGTCCTATACTTCGCTGGCGGCGACATCCTCGGCTACGACCTTTCCGACCCCAACAAGCAACTCGAGCTCGACACCGTCATCTTCAACGCTTTCGTCTGGATGCAAATCTTCAACATCTTCAACAACAGGCGTCTGGACAACAAGCTCAACGTGCTTGAGGGTGTATTCAGGAATTGGTTCTTCATCGGCATTGTCGTCATGATCATTGGCCTCCAAGTTCTCATCGTCTTTGTCGGTGGACGCGCATTCCAGATCAAGCCCGGAGGTATCGACGGCACACAATGGGCCATCAGCATCGTCGTCGGTTTTGTCTGCATCCCATGGGCAGTGCTCATCAGGTACTTCCCCGATGAGTGGTTCGCCGCCATCGCGCGTGTTGTCGGCAAGCCTGTCGTCGTCGTGTACCGATGGTGCTGCACGGGTATGAGCAAGGTCAAGACCTTGTTCACTTTCAGGAAGAAGAAGAGCGAAGAGAGCGAGGCTGAGGCTGGTGCTGCGCCAGCGATCGTTGTGGTCGGTGACGACGCGAGCGTAGCTGAGAACAGGAAATGAACGTAATGATTCGATGGAGGCATTAGACTGCGCACTTGTACAACACTTAGTTTAGATGAGACACGATACCCTAGAATTTGACGCTATTCATTCACACTCTCTTGATCAAACTATACTCGCGTTGTTTGAAAGTGACTGTAGGAAGGGGACTAAAATTGAGAGTAGGTGTAACAGTCTGCGTCATTGATCGCATACCCAAGCAACATGACAGAGAAGCATTTTCACTAAAGTTACGCCATCCAAGGATCTCTAGACGCGCTGCTCATTTTGCGCATGACTGAAGAGTCGTCCTGATAAACAAGACTGAAGCAGTGTCTTGATCAGATCGATCTTGGCCATGTCGACCTCCTCAATCGTTTTGCTAGACCTTTGGGAATAGTTGTCGTCTCCTTCGCAAGCTAACGCATACACAGCTTATTCTTTTCCGCTTTTCTGTGATTGACGAACTTCTTCAGAAAGGAGACCTCAGCCAGCTCTAATATATCCAGTCCATCCTTCGACTTGACTTGAGGCTTGGCGCCACTTCGAATAAGATGTAAGACCATGTCAGCGTTCCGATTGCGAACGGCGGTCTGCAGTGGGGTCTCACTCTCCCCGTTTACCACTTCAATTTTGGCCCCCTCTTTTGAAGGATCGTCAGGGGATTTTGGCTTCTCCAAACTAGCACTGCTTTGTGAAAGGGCGTGTAGCCTGATTCATCTCTGGCTTTCGTCAAAGATTCCCTTTCATCCATCTGGCTCGCGTGCGAGACGACAATTTGAACACGCCTCGATGCCCGGAGCCGGACACGGCGGTGTGTAAGCTTGTGTCCCCTTCTGCTGCGAATAGAACCCGCTAACGCTGAGTGTCAAGTAGAAACCGTGCGTTCTCGACGTGATCCGCTGCGACCACGACTGAACAACGTCGAGCCAACAGGGTTGAGCTCTGCAACATCTGCGCCTTGGTCAGGCTCACTGGGAATTATTTTCCCCAAAACCTCGCTACCAGAGAACTGACTCCAATAGCCATGTCGGAGTGGAGGGCAGGCTTATGGCCGCGAAGCAGATCTTCGTTTGATAACCCACCGATGAACGTATCACCTACGCTAATAGTATCGCTTGATAACGAGATGGAACAATGTAAGTGGGTGGAAAGGTGCTTCGCGGGTGACACCGATGCGGGCGATAACCAAGCGAGCGATGCGTCGCACTCGTTCTGCTGCATATAGCAATTTTACTAGGCGCGTATCGCTGCTGCCTAAAACACGTGATACTACGTCACATGACGAAGTTGGCCCGGCGCCGCAATATGCGATTGGCCTTCTTGACGTTACACAGCAGCCCATTCGAACTTTGAGCAAAACGACGCTGGATCCCGAACTTGAACCCCGCCTTATCACCTCTTCTCAACGATGGCGAACAAAATATGCCACTTCTTCGTCGCTGGACGTTGCGTCAACGGGTCGACGTGTCGCTTCCAACATCCCGATACGGTCCCCACCTTTCCCTCCTCCGAACGCAAAGCGGAACTTGTTGCCCACTCGCAGTCGGGCGGCTCCGTTCCAAGAGCGAAGATACCTTGCAAATTCTATCTCCAAGGCACATGTACTAAAGGACACCTCTGTACTTTCGAGCATTCGGATCCGACTTCAGTCACATCTACAGCCTTGCGTTCTGCATCAAGGGACACTAGGCCGAGTATACCGTGTAGGTACTTCCAGAAGGGCATCTGTAATATAGGAGAGCAATGCCCCTTCAGTCATGAGATTCGAGAGAATCTAGTCATCCCGAAGACGCTGTCGGATCACACGCCCATCAAGGACGTCGGCCTCACTACACCCGCTTCGGCGCGCGCCAATCCTGCCTTTAAAGAGCGTAATGAAACCCAAATACCAAGGACAATCGGAGGGGCCACCGTGGAGTTCGCTAACGGTGCATCTGTTTCTAAGATCTCTTTGATGTCGGACTTCTCCGCCGTGGTCACATCTGACCTATCTCCACAAACATCTGTACAAGAGCTAGTCGACTTCTTGATCGGCAGAGGCTTTTCCCAGGTGACGCACGATTGTGTTCGCCTCAAACACATCCCTGAGAAGCTCCATAAGACAGGTCTGATCAAAGTTCGTGATCCAGACTTCGCCAACAAGCTTCTTCAATGTCTTGAGGATGCTCCGATTCGTCTTCGGGGTATGGAAGTTCGCGTGTCGAAAATGCAAATTGCAGGAGAGACAGTATCCGGAATGAATCGACTTCAGCTCACCAGCGTGACATGTTCATGGTTCAATCCTTCCAAGGTGGCTTATCTCGAATATGATGCGGACTGGAAAGCGAAGCGGGCGCTCGAACGCATCGGGCGCCCGGACTCAAATGAGTTCCAGGGCCGGAAGCTCGATGTCACGTATCAATCAGCTCGGTCCTTGCAAGTAGGCAATCTAGACCTGCATACGAACGAAGCGGGACTTCGACGCTTTCTTCCATATCCACCGCCCACTAAGGTGACTTGGGGACCTCAATCTCACAGTCTCACTGCGAAACAGCTAGAAGAAAGAGCTATCACGCAACTTCAATCGCACGGTACTCTCATCGAAGAGTGTACTCCTTATCCCCAGAAGGGAGGAAGTAGAACGAAGATCATCGCCAAGTTTAGCGAAGCAGAGGCAGCACGAAATGCGGTCAAGAAGATGCACGAAACTTGTCTCGATCTCAGCTCCAATGATAAGATGCAGGTCAATCCTCTGGTTTCCATCAAATTGTCGGTCTCCTCTCGAATCCTAGCAGCCATTCGATCACAGCTTGACCCTCTAGTCGACCAAACATGGCGAACAGATTACGTTAAGATCAAGAGCTACAACACTCTGGGCAAACAATACACCCAAGTCCGCATCTTCGGGCAGTCCAGAGAGCCAGTTGCCAAGGCCAAGTCGGCCGTGGAGAAGCTCCTTACCGGTCAGATCGCCACCGACGGACATGGCCCGTTCACAGACCCGTTCTACTTCAGGCCTTCAACAAAGGACTTTCTGAACGATCTGGGAGCGTCACATGGGGTTTTCATACACCAGGATTTACGTCGATCGGTTCTTCGACTATACGGAGATCACGAGGGTATCGAACGAGTCGAAAGCGCTCTAGTGGCTAAGTGTGCAGAATTGAGGGAGCATTCTCACGCCGTTATTCTTGATCCCGAGGCTTTGGAGTTTGCCCTCAAAGGTGGATATCGAAAAGTCGTCGCCGCTTTCGGGAAGAACAGAGTAAAGCTAGACATCATCAACACCCCAAAGCGAATCATCGTCGAAGGCTCCACGGAAGATGCGGTCCGGGTACGGGAGATTATCGCATCGTGTGCATCGTCTTCATTGGGAACACACAAAACCGGGATCTCCAATAGCGAGGACAAATCCGAGCTACTCTGCCCGGTCTGCTTCACCCCACCGGAAGACCCTATCAAGACGTCGTGCGGCCACGTCTATTGCAACCCCTGCCTCGTTTCGCAATGCACGTTTGCCGACTCATTTCCGCTCAGATGTCTCGGAGAGGACGCAGCTTGTGGCTCTCCATTGGGTCTTTCCGACGTCAAGAAAGTTCTTTCTGGAACTGGATACGATGATCTTCTCCAGAATTCCCTGACGTCATACCTTCGTAGTCGACCAACGGAATTCCACTACTGCTCCACACCTGATTGCGATCGTTTCTACAGAATCTCGGACGCTGAAAACCCTCGAATGTTTGACTGCGACGGCTGCCTCACCTCCATCTGCACTAGCTGCCACCAAGGACCCCATGACGGGCACACTTGTGAGACCAACAAACGTCTGATGAGAGCTGTCATAGAGGAAGACGAGAAGCTCACGAAATGGAAGACGGACCATGATGTACGAGACTGCCCAAAGTGCGGGGTGCCGATCGAGAAGGCGGATGGTTGCAATCACATGACGTGCACCTCGTGCCAGGTACACATCTGCTGGTTCTGCATGAAGACGCTTAGCAGCGGAGGCGAGACGTACAAACACATGCAGAGCGTACATAGCGGTGTTTAAATAGCCTCTCTTAGTCTTCTTCTATACCTTGTACTACTGTTATTCTATTACAAAGTAAAGATGTTAAGTCTAGAACCTAGCTAAAAAAGGTAAAGTAATTAAAAATTAAAGAACTAAAAAGTTTATTAGTAAACTAATAATTCTATAGTAAGCTTATTTAAAAAGAGTAAGGTTTATTACTAGTATATAAAAAGATATATTTCTAAAAAAGTTAAAATTTTATATTTAGAGGTATAAGCGTTAAGTAAACTAAAGCTTAAATTCTTAGTACTACTACTTTTAGCGTAGTTAAAGCTTTTAAAATTTAAAGTAGTAAAATAACTATTTTATAAATACTAATATTTACTTATAGTAGAGAAAATTCTAATATAATTATATATTCTTAATAGCTTATAACTAATAAAACTATAAATTATAAACTAATAATAAATACTAAAATATTTAGTATATAAAATTATACTTTTATATATAGTCTTTATTTTCTCTTTTTAGTTTTATCTCTATCTCTATCTTAATTTTTATTTTATAGCTTATAGTAAATTAAAAATCTAAAACTTATTAAAGATATAAATAGTAGCTTAAATTTAATACTAAAGCTATACTATAGATAATTTCTTAACTATATTTTTACTTTTTTATAAGTTCTTCTAGTATAAGTAAGTCTAAAGCTAATTTTATTACTAGTTATATTACTTCTATTAATTATATCTTTATACTATATTATATTACTTATTAAAGCTTTTATAGACTACTCTAAGACTACTACTAAAAAAAAAGCTCTTAGTTAGGCTATTTTTATAATTATTATATAGACTATTATTAAAGCTATTATAAAAGCTATTATTAGAGCTTTTAAAGCTTATCTTACTAATATTATATTATATTCTAAAACTACTAAGACTAATACTACTATTAATACTATTAAGATTATTATACTACTACTATAAAGACTTCTAATATATAAACTAAGACTTTTTATAGTTTTTTATTATAGCTAAGCTTTTAAGTAACTTACTAGTAATACATAAATATTTTTTTATAAACTATACTTACTTTAAAAAGAGTAATAGAATAGTTATTATATTACTAGTGTTGCTCTTTTTACCTAAAGTAATTTATTAATTATCTACGCTATATATACCTATAACTTTGTATATAAGATTAGGCTATAGATAGCTTAGAACTAAAAAGTAAATAATATATCTAACGTTAGCTTAAATTAAGACTCTAACTAAATTATTAAATCTAGATTAAAATACTAAAAATATAATTTTATATAAGATCTAGCTACTTTAATTAGTATAATATTACTTAGCAAAGTTAGTGTCTTGAATCTAGTTTTATAGACTTTATTTAGTAATAAGATATTAAAAGATATCTAGCTTTTAAAGTTATTCTAGAACTACTAAAAGATTTTAAAACTTTTATATATTTAGTGTATATTACTATTAGTACTAAGACTTCTATATAGACTACTTAGTAAAGTAGTATATAGTATTATCTTAATATTATTAGAATAAAAATATAAAGCTTACTTTAGTAACTTAGGTTATTTTAGTTTTTAAGATAGAAAAAGAAGACTTTAAACTATATACTAATAGTTAAAGTAATTAAAGTTATTTTAACTCTATTCTAAAACTACTTATAGGTATTTCTTATAATAATAATTATAAACTTATAATATATAGTTTAGTTACTTTACTTATAGAGATCTAATACTAGTATAAATAGAATAAAAGTATAAGTAGCTTTTCTAAATTTAAGAGATAAAGCTCTAAGTATACTCTTTTCTAAGTTAAATTATTACATAATAATACGCTACTATATTAGACTTAATAATAAACCTAATATTTTTTTTATAATTCTAGATTTAAAACTTTTATAACTTATACTTATACTATTTTTATAATAATTAAAATAAGTATTATAATAATATACTAACTACTTTACATTTACTATTTAGTACTAATAAATATTTAGACTATTAATTTATGCTAGTACTAGCTTTAAATAATTTAATAATACTAAAAGAAAATCTAGTAGGTCTATTATAAGTATAAATTCTAACTTAATTTATTATATTTATATAATACTTATATAATTACTACTAATCTATACTTTCTATAAATTTACTTATAGCTAAAGCTATTTTAGTAGTTATATTATAGAACTTTTTATTATACTAACTATTTATTCTATCTATTATTATATATCTCTTAATATAGCTTAATACTATACTATATATACTATTTTAATAGCTAGTAAAGTACTATCTCTTTTTAGCTAAGTAAATTATTCTCTACTATAACTTTAGTAAAGTAAAACTTTTATAAAACTACTAGCTTTAACCTACTTTACTTTTTATTTAACTTACTAATCTAAATAAATATTTTTTTATAATTATTTTAATATAATAAAGAAATATAATTTAAACAAAAATATCTATATTTCTTATTTTTAAAGCTATATAATATTTTTTAATTCTAACTAATTATATATAGTTATCTCTTACTTTTCTAAAAAATACACTCTTTAAACTTTACTTTTATAGCTATATTTTATAAGTGTTTTATTTCTAAATTTTAAAAAAACTAAAAGCTTAAATATATAAAACTAATAGCTAGTAAAGCTTACTAAAGTAGTAGATTTAATTATATTTATAAATTATAATAGTATAGTATTTACAAAACTAAAGCTTAAATTATATATATAGAATAGATAGTCTACTAAAAGTAGTTTTTAATAGTTAATATAGTAGATTTAAAAAAGCTTTAACGTAAATAAAATAATTAAGAAAAGATATAGACTAAAGAAAAGTATTATTTATTTATATAGTCTTATATTACTTTCTTTAATCTATAATTTCTAATATTTTACTATAACTTTAATTCTAATTATAATATATTCATGTATAGTACTATAGCTTAAGAATATTTTATTATAATTTTCTATTTATCTTAATAGCTAATTAAAAGATTTCTACTTAGTTTTAATTAGTACTCTATACTTTAGTTTCTTCTATTTCTACTAAGAGCTTTTTACTATTACTATTTATTATAGTAAACTACTAATATAGAGTAGAGTAATAAAGCGTAGTTAGTAACTCTTTATAGTAATCTTAATATAAGTATATTTTCTAAACACTATATACTTACTATATATAACTATAAATTTAATAAAACTCTCTTTCTAATATTTATTATAAATATAATTAGTAATAATATACTTATAAAAGGTGTAAAGATTATAATAACTTAGTTATTATTATCTTTTTATTATTATTAAGCTTTGTTAAGATTGCACTTATTGTAATTTCTTAACAAATTAGAAAAATTCCTAGTAAATCTAATTGCTTACGTAAT